TTGTAAGTTCGGGGGCTATGCGAATGAAGTAAGGGACAGATACTATAGGGGACATGGTTTAGTAACTGCGCAGTGAGTGCTCGCTCACGCGGAAGAGTGGGGTTGTCCTTCGGTCAAGTCGGGCCCGATTCGTGACTTGTGTTCCCCTTCATGGGGGCGCTGTCTTGAAAACTTCGATGCAGGTACAAAGTTATACAAACAAAAATCTCCTTGGTTTGAGTCCGTAAGCGAACTATACTGACCGAGCGACCGCCTCTCGTCGGCGAAGTTGGTGCCAACTTTAGCGGATAGAGGGTGTCGCGTGATCAACGCAACGAATACCCACGGCCATTAATCTCGGTTTTGTAGACCGGAGCCGCTATTTCCTCGAAATAGCTCCACAATTATTCTAACGAGGCTGAGCGAACACCATTCCAGACCGACTACTTCTCAGAAAATCTGGCAGCCCCGGAAATCGAACCCGGAACCTCTGGGATCTGTAGCCAGGAACTTTGACCACTAGACCACATAAGAGGTCTACAAATTTATACTCCAACGTTAATTATCAGTACTGAGAACTAAGTGAATGTTGGTTTGTTTTAAGGAATATATGAACTACCTAGGACATGCAGTGGCTAATGTTAAAAAAAATGTGGATGACGAATTGAAAAGGTCGCGGAATGATGGTGATGTGGCACGCTGTTTGCTGCTTTCACACATCAGTCAAAAGACGATTCGACGTGGTTATTAAATGGAACGTACTGAAGTATTATTAATTAAACTGTGTGCCGAGAACACTACGACAGTTGAAATGTTTAGTGCGAATTTCATAGCTATTAATATTGCCTCAGGCGTGGAACAAATAACACAGGAACTAGCAGTGCGTAATTTGAGCACAGCATTTCCATATTTGCAGAGAATAGAAGAAGAAATTATAGTAACTAATTATTTAAATAAGTGATGTGAACGTACACAGGTTCTAAATTCCGCCTCTTAACAAAGTATGAAGTATGGGAAACCTACGATAAATATTTATACATCTGCTTGAACTCCAACCATTCGGAGGCGTAATCTGTAGAAATGGCACGGTATGTCACGCAGTTTGGTAGGCGGGACGCTAAGGTTAAGTTGAATGTTATGCTATTGGGCGGTGTTGGTGTGAACAGGGCTGAAACGGTGAAGCACTGAGTCCAGCGTCGGAGATGTTTTACTGACGATGTCACACAAGCTGATTTTATTGACGTTAATCCTCACAGCTGTTCTCGTTATGTCACTTCATATTTTCACTTTTATTCCGTTTATGACAACAGAAACCATGGCGACGACACAAACACGCACTAACACAAAAGGTTACGTCAGAAGCCATTACCGACATTGCGGCTCAAGAAGGACCTTCTTCTCCAAAAAGAAAAATTGATTTGGTTTATATGGTAAGGGTAAGAAGGTAACATTTTCCCTGTGCTTAATTAATTAAGCACTATTCCATGAAGACATATAGGGGACTGGAGGCACAGCTCCACCATTCTTGACCTCAACAGCAGATGAATGTGAGTAATAAACTTCACGCGCCGGCCGATTTACCTCAGCTGAAATTGGGCCCTGTATCATGGGAGAGGAGACAGCCAGAGCCGGGCTGGGAGCTATGGATTCTGGAAATCGAACTCAGGACGTCCAGCCCCTAGTCCGTCACTATACTGACTGAGCTATCCCGACTCCTTGGTCTAAACGGCGGAAATTAAAATATGTCGTAGCAGTTTAGGAACGCAAGATATAGAACGGAAACTATTATTATGCAAGGTTTACGGAATAGGAGTTCGCCTGACAAAGTTTGTTGTTTAAAATGTTAAGGGAAGGATTGTTATTGCAAACACAACGAAACAAGTGGGCCACTTATATGACTTCTTGATCCAACATGAATTACGTGTATTTCCGTAATTTTCTCTCATACACAAATATAAGGCGACTGCACAAATACATCCACATGTTCTTTCCGGGAAGTAACCTGCCAATATTCTGTGCAAAAAATGATTAATGAATAATTAAAGGTTGCGAAAACAAAACGGCCGGTCATGGCAGCCGAGCTGTCTGAGGCATGAACTATCTTCGCTCTTCTGTGTTTGTGTTGTCCTGTGTTAAGGTAGAGGCCTTGCGACGAGTTGATCACTCGTTCACGGAGTCCTACCGTCTGTGAAATTATTAAAATGAAAACAAAAAAAAAATACACACCGTAAAGGTACAAGAGGTGAACGGAGTTCATGGAGGTAGGCCTAGGCCCACTGGGGCTGTAGTGCCAAGGAAAAAAAAAAGGTACAAGAGGAATGGTTTAAGTATGTAAACAAAAAGTCAATATTCGGATAAATTCATGGATGAATTTCTGTGAAAATCTGATATTGATTTAATGGCTTTCGCCATGTGATGGCATGACACAAGCCGTGTCAGGGGAAAAAGTGCTGGGTCAATTATTACGCGTCGCAGAGGGATGTGGCGCCAAACGCACAGATCACACACCTAAGGGCATACTAAAATTAGCTGAAGCTAATTAGTTACCCTGCTTCCAACCACAAACAAGTCTATCAGCAAAATAACATTTAATTCGTGCCGTAATTGAAAGCATAAACGAATTCAGACTTTGGCAATATTTGACCGTTTTCGAAAACATACGATATGAAAAAACCGCTTATATATATTCTATAATGGGACATAGTTTATCATTGACTGTGTGTGTTATGAATGGAAAGAGATCAATAGAAGTGGTTGAGGGCAGGATCATAAAGAAACGAAAGGTACCACGCTTCAGTCAGCAATGCTTTCTCGACCGTTGCTGGAAAATGTTTCGTATCATGCATATTCAGTTAAATAGTCATTTGAAATTGTTCCTCAAGGGCTATAATGCAGACCGGTGGAGCGGGTATCTGTGGGAACCGCAGTTAGCTATGAGAAGAGCTAAAATTTTCGTCTGAAATTTCAATGGACATTTCACTAGCACACTATATTGAAGTGTATATATATATATATACATTAAAGGCCGCGCCATAGTTCAAGCGGTTAGTCGCTGGCTTCCCACCGCGGTTTCGATCCCGGGTCTGGTCAAGCGGGAATTGTGATAGACAAAGTGGCGCTGGGACAGGTTTTCTCCGAGTACTTCGGTTTCCCCTGCCAATCTTCATTCCACCAATTGCTCCACAATCACCCTCACCTATCATCTGGGGCTGGTACAATAGGCCAGAAGTGGCCGCAGTACAAGGGACTTAGTCCCACCCCATTAGCAATGAAAAAATAAAAAAATAGTCCCACGCTACTAGAAATAAAATATATATTTATACATTTACAATTTCAGATTATGCAGATTAATGTGAAGGAAATAAGAAATAAATGTGTAAGATTTGAGGTTTCCGTGGCTGTGACTGTTAAGAATGCCATCTTCTGGGATGTGGGGCCGTGTAGATTTTGTTTGAACCTACGTTTCAGAGGAAAGTATTGCTTCTATCTTCAGGGCTGCAGACTGCAGCCACCTGCTCACTTGGCTCCTAGCTCGAGGATTTTTCTACCCTGAAAGTGGAGGCGATACGTTCTCTGAAACGTCGGTTCACACATGATCTACACGGTGCCCCGTCCCAGAACATGTCATTCTTATGAAATGAATGTGTTCATACGTTTACATTTTATTCCATATGTTATTTCTACATTTTATAACGCGTTTAGTTCTAGTGATTGTGACCTCTAGAGACGTTGCGGTTTCTTAGGTCGTAATTACGTGCTGCTGATCTTCAAGAAAGAAGCAAAGAAATACTTGGCGTAGACGATAAACTTAGGCAAGACAGTTATATTTATACTAACGCACTAAATTCAATATAACAAGAAGAGGCACAAAACGGAAATGGTATTTACAGGAAGTCTTTCTGCAAACATGGACAGTGTAATATTGAATCCAAACATTCCTGCCGCTGTTTCCACCTTCAGCTCCTATTCATAACTGTTTGATTACGAACATAACGATAGATCACGAAATGATAGTATGTGTTCAACCAATCGTGGATATACACGGTAACGTAGTCGGTTGAGGCACCATGCTATAAGTCGGAAGATCCAGGACTAGAGTCCCGATGAGGTGGATTTTTCCAATTTACCTAATCCTTCCAGCAGCATTATGGTCCTGGGTTCGCCTAAACCTCTAACAAAAATGGGTATCAGGAATCTTCCTGGGGGGTAAACGGCGGTCGATGCGTAAGGTTGACAACCTCACCGCCATCTGTGAGCCGATTGTCTAGAAAATCTTGGAGCCTCAACCTCTCACAACCCTATGGGCCTTCAGGGCCTGTTACAGGAATAGCTTTATCTTTCTACCTTTTTCCATACAAATATACAGGATATACATGTAGAAGGCTAAGATTTATTCTTCTGTCTTTATTTTCCTTAGTCATGAATTCTTGACACTCATGGACTGGAGCAGACGATAGGGGCTATGTTATTTTTTTATTGCTAGTGGGGTGGGACTAAGTCCCTTGTGCTGCGGCCACTTCTGGCCCAGATGGTAGGTGAGGGTGATTGTGGAGCATTTGGTGGAATGAAGATTGGCAGGGGAAACCGAAGTACTCGGAGAAAACCTGCCCCAACGCCACTTTGTCCACCACAAATCCCACTTGACCAGACCTGGGATCGAACCCGGGCCGCCGCGGTGGGAATCCAGCGACTAACCGCTTGAGCTATGGCGCGGTCATAGTGGCCATAAAAGACACTACAAGTTACCTCTGTTTTAGCTCGTATTTCAGTCCCCAAATTTATCTTGGCGTGGCAGCACTGTTTGTTCCGCCATACTGCCTTCACAGAACGTTTCAATATCACATAGTGCATATTCAGTAAAAACGTGGTTTCGAAGTGTCCATAAAGGTCTGCAGTATGTAAGAGTGGATCACTGGTATTGTTATTTGCTGAAATGTTAGATACAGGTGGAAGTTATCGTATTTTCCCAATAAAATGAAAAGGCGCTAGCAAGCACTAAGCGGTATGGCGACACAACTTACTCAGTGCCGTGAGGTTGATGAACTGGACGACGGAGCAGCCCTCCCGCACTTCGATATATGTGATTTCGCATTTGTACACAGCTTCATCAGCCACCTGCAAGTGCTTCACCTCCAGCCTGGATTCCGTGTCGTTCTGTTTGTAATGCAGGCTTGCCCTGTAACGAGAACATCAACACATGAAAGTGATCTATCTTCTAAAGGGGCAGCATATCCTTCACGCAGATCTGCGCGAATGCAAACAAGTACAGTATGATACACTTTATATATAGAACATCCATTACTTAAGTATAGTCAAAATCTGAGGGCATTTGTGACTTGGCAGTTCTGTTATATCTTGCTAAAGCGTAACCCATTTATATTACTTACGACGAGAGAGCAATACGTAAATATTGAACGTCAGTATCATGAAGTGTGTGCAGTGAAACGCAATGTAGAGAATGGAGAATGACTCATACTTCATACTAAGGGAAGCATTTCCATGGATTGTCACAACTACACTTTTAAGTTGAGTTATACGTCAAAGCAGCCGTTGCGTTGGTGTAGCCCTGTGAGTCGTAGAAGATGAGCAAAAGTGATACCCGATGCCTGGGGGTATAAATTCGCCAGTCTGTTACTACAGATCCTAAATAAAGAGACCTGGCCCTCCAGGGTAGGATTTTGACGCTAGGCCGACGACCTTGCTATGTAAAATTTATTCTTGCGAAATTCAAATAACGGATCAGATCTGACAGAATCTTCTAGGAAGGCTATGGATGAAAATGGGCTGATTTGCAAATGATGAAGATATATCAAAACACAAACATTTATTAGGAATTTAACTCCAAGGTTAAGCGGCCTCCGTAGTCTAGAGGTAACGTTCCCACCTCATGACTCGTAGTACGCGGGTTCAAATACCCGGCGGAGGTCGTCGAATTTTTAAGGGCGGAAAAATTCAGGGAACAAGTCCTCCGGGAGGGACTTTAAGCCGTGGGTCCCGTGTCGTAGATTTACGGCACGTAAAAGAACCTCATGTCTCTAGGAGACCTCTGAGCAAAATTAGGCAACATTTCCCACCTAAGTAGTTTCCAATTCCTCCGGTAGATGGGGGAAGTATTAGGTACCACTACCAGAGGAGGGGGGACCTCTCTGACAGAAAGGGACTAACTATTAGATACCACTGCCAGAGGAGGTTGGAACCTCGCTGGCAGAAAGGGCTGATAGTAAGGACCAGTACCGGTAGGGTATGGAGACAGTAGAAATTAAAGGTGGACGCACAATGGACCACTAACCGGTCTAAGTGCATGGGGAAACCCACCCCCTCAATACGGAACTCCAAGGTTTCCAGATAAATTTAACTCAGCAATGAATTTATATTCTCTACCGAACATTGAAAATTGTTACCTATCCCGGTCTCCAGATTAAAGTGCTATCGTATGCAGCTCTTTTATGTACACAAAGTTGGAATAGACAGATAAAATGGAGGGGGTATTGTCACACAAACAACTGCTTCTAATATTGCACCCACAACATGTTTCGGCTAAGATACACCATCATCACGTGACACGTGAGAAATAAAAAAATGGTGATGGAATTCATGCGAAGCTATAACGCTTGCAAAGGTAAAGCTACCTCTGTAACAAGCCGTGAAGGCCCATAGGGTTGTGGGATGTTGAGGCTCACAAATTTTCTAAATAATCGGCTTAGAGTAGGCGGCCAGGTTTTGACCCTTACTTTCCGGCTGCTTTTACCAAGAGGAAGATTTCCAGTACTCATTTCTGTTACAGGTTGAGCCGAACCCAGGACAACAGTGCGGCTGGAAATATTAGGTCTATTGAGAAATCCAGTGACCTCATCGGGAATCGAACCCGCGACATTCCGAATTGAAGCATAGTGCCTCAGCCAACTACTCGACCGCGCGCCCCACAATGTTGGTATGAATTTGAAGAATTGTTTGTTAAACTACTTCGGATATGACTTAATACCATTAACATATTAGATTTAAACTTAGAAATAAGCATACACGCATTAAATTTGAAAACTGATTATACAACACACACATCTGAGATTGTCAAACAATTTAAATACGGGGAACAAAGTTCTGAATTCTAAAACCCAAAAGATGAGGAGGAAGTTTCCAATTCTGTGTTAACATATAAGTGAAACTTCATATGACCTGTGTAAGCCTAGTTTTGCCGGGATTATTCCTCACTGTGACATATGTTATACACTTCTGAATTATAAATACGTATATAAAATGGGTGACTCAGTGAATATAAGTAATTAAAATCATATTTAAAACAAGGAAACTTTACAATAAAAGATACAGAGTGATAACTTCTACTCTACTAAATTCAGTCATAATAGAAAGGCATAAATTTAAATTTACTTTTATATACGTAATTTATGAATACATATTTACTTACTCATGGAGCTGAGTTCTTCTGGAGAAGCCGCCAATTCAGCAACTACTCAAGAATTTCCCAGCATTTTATGGAACCCGAAGGTTCATTACCGTGTTCACAAGAGCCCTCCACTGGTCCCTATCCTGAGCCCGATCAATCCAATCCATACCATCCCATCCTATCTCTCTAAGGTTTATTTTAATACTGTCCACCTACCTACGACTTGATCTTCCCAGTGGCCTCTTTTCTTCTGGCTTTCCCACTAATATTCTATATGCATTCCTCTTCTCCCCCTTCGTGCTACATGCCATGCCCACGTTATCCTCCTTGACTTGATCATTCTAATTATACTTGGAGAAGAGCACAAGTTATGAAGCTCCTAATTATGCAATCTTCTCCAGCCTCCTGTCACTTCATCTCTCTTCGGTCCAAATATTCTCCTCAACAGCCTGTTCTCAAACTCCCTCTGTTTACGTTCGTCCGTTAATGTTAAAGACAAGGTTTCACACTCATAGAGAACCATAGGCAAAATTATAAATATAATACAGAAAAACGTAATAAAATTGGAAGATAGGTGTGCACCAGGTTATCCGATTTTACGAGAAACTGCAAAATACACAATCAGAAATCTAAAATTGTCTCTTTTAATGTGAAAACGTGAACATTTTGTGTATAGATTTTCCCAATATTTTTTTCCCTACGACTCACTTCTCCGCTATAGCGTATAAAACAGTAATCATTATAGTCGCTACAGCCGATAATTATCAAATGTATATTATACTGTAAACAGCAAATGTTACTTCCCCACGACATGTCATTAACAATTTGCTAGAAACAATCGACGTAATCTTTATCACATTCAATAATACAGCACAGCAATATATCCTCAGAATCCAGCATTCTCTTCTTTAACATTTTGGTATCTACCTCTTTCTTCATAGCGGTAACTAACCACACAACTATTTAACCCCATTAAGCCGCGCCCTCTTTGAGAAGCCACCAGTTGCTCAACTACAAATTTACCAGAATTTTGTGGATCTCTATGCACAGCCAGATTAATCGAGTTCATACCACCCCATCCTATTTCTCATATATACATTTTAATATTATGCTCACCCATATGTCTAGGTCTTCCTAGAGGTATTCATAATTCTAATAATCAGAGATAAGTGCTTTATAAGCAGATAAGAAATCTGATATTTCAGTTCCGAGGGTCCACACCAATTCAGATTGCAACGACGCAGTCCTACTTAGTGTCCAGGAATGACTTCCTCTCTGGGCACAAATAAACAAATCTGACTCTGTACGCCCTACAGAAGCATCAGAAAAGGAGCGAAAGGTTCTCCTTTATAAAATCATCTATTAGAAACACACAAGTGTTACCCGGTGCAGTTCAAGTACACAATGGTCACAACGGTGCAAGCGGGAAATTTAAACCGATTTCAAGCGTTGCGCTAATTTATCGGTTTCATCTCAGCTCAATTCTCGATATCCTGCCCTAAACGTCCATTTAAACCATCTATGATCATAAGAACTTTCTCCTGAAATAGAAACAATACAGAAGCTTCGCAAATCAACGTTTCGATTCAAAATTATAGTACAGCAAGAATTTATACGCAGAAGCTGAGGCCACTATGTTCCTTAAAAAGTTGTAACTTATAACAAAAAACTGGAAGGAACGACAAGTTGAGAGTAAACACAATTAAATATCCTCTATGTATAGTAGGTATTGTGTGACCTTTTATATTTTGACACGAGAGATGAAAGCCGGAACAACAAACCCACAAAGGACATCCATTGCTAGGCATCGGTACGGTAAACACGTTCCCGCGGTAATGAATAACCACGCAATAATAGAGATTTTTTTAAAGCAGTGTTTCCTATTCGAGCAATGCCGAGGCTATATAGTGAGAATCATTTGAGAAAAGCCATTCCCCATAACCATGTATACTTACGCTATATGTGTGATACGTAGACTTGACAAAGGGAAAGCCTATTCATAACAGACAAACCCATTCCTTCACCAGAGAACATGATTCATAACTACTACGGGCGCAAGGATTCAGCTGCAAAAACATCTCTGGTCGCGAACTCAAAGGGCTTGGAGTCAAGACGAAGTGATCGGTGGTGGGCCACCCTGTTCCTGGAGGGTAATAATAATGCGGGGATCTGACCCTCCAGGTTGGGGAGAGTCTCGAATCTGCCCGGGCCAGTAGCAACTGTACAGGATAGACCCGTCCTTTCATCAGAGGGGGCACCCAACATCATCTAACCCGCAACTGTCTGACAGCAACAAAAATCTGGTGTTGGGTTCCAGATAGGATTTCACATCAAGACAGACTGGCCGACTGACCGTCGGTCATAATATAGGCTGTCCGGAAGAAAGGTATCCAAAATGACAAAAGTTATATCTCAGAAATTGTCATACACGTGTCCCGTTTATGTCACCCGGCTTACGCGCATAGGCCGCCACATTTTTTCCACCACGTTAGGAATCACCTGGACAGAGAGATGGCTGGGATAGGAATGGGCAGAGGCGGAGCAATAGCGTGGCCTCCTAGGTTGCCAGATTTAATACCACTGGATTTTTTCTTGTGAGGTTGTATGAAGAACACTGTCTACCAGGTTAAGATCAACGACCTTCAACACCTGAAAGTCCCCATAAGGGACGCTGTGGCTACGGCAACACCAAACATGCTTCAAGTATGGATATTTGTCGTGCCACCAAGGGAGCCCAAGTTTAAATTTATTGAAAAAATTATATAAGCAGAAAA